TAAGGAAAGTAACAACATAACTAGAATATCATCAAGAATCAGAAATCAACATATTGCACGGCATCACCCTTCATGCTTTTACTCTCGTCCTCACCGAATCAGTCATATAATAACAATGTGCACGGCATCACCCTTTGTGCTTTACACTCTTTCCTCACAATAGCAAACAATGCATGACATTACCCTTCGTGCTTTTACTCTCTTTCCTCACCATATAGTCAATGATAATCGGTACGGAATGGTACATCGTACGGCACGACATCACCCTTTGTGCTTTACACTCTTTCCTCACCATAGCAAGTAATGCACGGCATCACCCTTCGTACTTTTAACGCTCTTCCTCACCAAACAACAATCACAAACAAAGGGGAAAGGGAGTAAACAAATAATAATAGAAATCCCGGAAAGGGAACACAATTAAATAGTTAAATCCCGTCAAGGGAACAATATCAATAATCCCAGCATCCCGGCAAGGGAGATAATCAACAAAGCAACAAACATCCCTGCAAGGGAGCAATTTAAGAACTTTTTCTCTTTCTTTCACTTTTACTTCTTAACTCGCTTTACCACTTAAGCCAACGCTCCAAAGGGTTCAATTATTTCATATACTTTCACACTTGGTTATATAACTCGAGCCAATGCTCCTCGAAGTTCAAAGGTCACAATTTCTTTCACAAGCTTTTCACAACATATAGAAATCGTCACTAAGGCATGAAAAACACAACAAAATCAGGATATTCACAATGTAAAGACTCACGGTCATGCTAGACACCAACGTATAGATACTCGTCACCATGCCTATACGTTGTACTCAACAATTATCACATAGCAAATATGACTCAACTCCTAATCCCTCAAGCTAAGGTTAGACCAAACACTTACCTCAAACTTCCACGGCTAATTCAATCCTCAATTACTGCTTTTCCTCTCGAATTCGGCTCCAAATCGATGGTATCTATACATAAATGACTTCATAACATCAATAAATGCTAAACAATTCGAATCCAATGCCTAATTATAGCCTCCCAAGTATTCTTCCCAAAAACCCAAAAAACGACCCTGGGCCCGCTTGGTCAAAATACTAGGTTCTAACCAAAATCCGATAATTATTTCCAAAATTCGACCCCAAAACGAGGTCTAAATCATAATTAATTAAAAAGCCTTAATTCTACCCAATTCCCTAATTTCTACCCTTAATTAAGTGTTTTAGGCCTAGAAATTCAATAGATGTTGATGAAAATGGAAGGAAATAAGTTAAAGATTACTAACCCAAGAGTTTATGGTGAAAGGATGCTTCAAAAGTCTCCCTAGAACTTTGGAGAAGAAAGAGTTTGTGAAATTTTGGTGAAATCCCGTAATGGGTTATGTTTTGGGACTTTAAAATAACTGGGCAGAATCCTTCTTCGCGTTCGCGATAAGCTCAACGCGTCTGAAGACCTTCGCGTTCGCGATGCCTTAGCACCTCGAGCCCTCGCGTTCGCGAGCTAGTGGCCGCGTTCGCGTAGAACAAACTGGTGGCCCTCCCCTGAACCTTACGCGTTCGCGAAGGGTTTCCCCTCTGAGCTTCGCGTTCGCGTCTCAACCTCCGCGTTCGCGAAGAAGAAACTGAGCACCTGGGATCTTTGCCTTACGCGTTCACGAGTGAGACCACGCGAACGCGAAGAACAAATCCCTGGGCACAACATCAGAAAATCTGCAACACTTCTAAAGCCAAAAACCATTCCGAAACACCTCCGAAACACTCCCGAGCCCTCGGGGCTCCTAACTAAACACAAGCACTAACTCAACAACATCATACGAACTTATCTGTGCGATCAAGTCGCCTAAATAACCTCAAAATCAATGAATCAAACCTCAAAATAAAAAAAAATCCTCAAACTTCATCAAGTTTCCAATTTAGAAATTTAAGTCCGAAACACGTCAAACGACGTCCAATTTCAACCAAATTTTACAGGAAGAACTTAAAACATATATAAGACCTGTACCGGGCACCGAAACCAAAATACGAGCCCAATACCATCGCTTTCTAATCAGATCTCATTTCCAATTTCCTTAAACATTTTCAGAAAACAATTTTACTTAAAAATTCATTTCTCGGGCTTGGGACCTCGGAATTCGATTCCATACATATGCCCACGTCTCATATTTTCCTACGGACCCTCCGGGACCGTCAAATCACGGGTCCGGGTCCGTTTGCCCAAAATATTGACCAAAGTCAAACTTATTTATTTTAACATCAAAATTTAGCATTTTTCACAAAATCTCATATTTAAGTTTTTCGGCTACGTGCCCGGACTGCGCACGCAAATTGAGGCAACTCTAAATGAGGTTTTCAAGGCCTCGGAAGCACAAAATGGATAAGAAAACAGGTGATGACCCCTTTGGATCGTCACATGTATTCCTCTATAACGGGAGATGTTGGCATATCAAGTAACTTTAGTGTTCCAGATGAACATGCATGAAAATAAAGATAAATTCTATCATAAACAGTTTGTAGAAATTTTGTAGATAATTTGTAGAAACATTAAAATTCTGTATTTTCATATTAATTTTTCAAATGATATGTAGTTTTATTATAGAATAAATGTAGAAATTTTGTAGATATTGTGAAAATCCATACTGATATACGCCATAGTTAAATGAATAAAAGAATACAATTTTATGGTAGTAAATTATGCATCCGCACCTCATGCTTAGTTCTGCAAAGTCAAGAAGACATTTTGTGCATCCGCACTCAACTCACGTAACTTTACAAATCCACAAACAACTAAAAAATTGGTCATGTGCCTCACTTTACTTTACAATCCTCAAGCAACTAAATAAATGGTCATGTGTCTGGTTTTTGACTATAGCAACTTGATCAATAGATGAAGCACAACCTAATTTCAATTCCTCAATTCTGTGTCCCCGAAAACAAGACATTGTGAGTCTTATTTGACGCATTCCTCACATTCAACCTATTCTACAAATTCACGCCTCTTTAAATACAATACAACCATACTTTCTTGAATTTAAAGGTATAGCAATATATATAACTTAAAAAACATCTCTCCTCAGTACAAGTTAGCTCCAAAACAGATGAAGTGGAATAACAAGCTCCCATCAAAACTTTTAATACAAAAGCACAAAGCTCAAAAATAAATAAACAACAGAATACATTTTTTCTAAAATATTTCTACAATTTTTGCAATATAATGTATGTCACGTCTTCTTCTTCTTCTTCGAATTTCAATCTGAAATTCAGCCAAAACCAAGTCTAATCTTCACCAAAACCCCTCAAAATTGAGATATAAACTCCAAACCATATTCCCAATTATTTGCAACAACATCCAATCCAAACAAATAATGATTTTTGAAAATCCAAATTCGAAATCAAAGCTTCAAAGCTTTTTAATGGCTGTCAATGGTGGAATTGCTGCTCTATTTTCCTTTCCTCTTATATTATTGAAATTTGGGATTGAGAGATAGAGAGAGACGTAGAGAGAATTCTCAATTCTTTGCAACAACATCCAATCCAAACAAACAATGTCTTTTGAAAACCCAAATTCGAATTCAAAACTTCAAAGCTTTTTAATGGTTGTCAATGGTGGAGGAGTTATAGATTTTCGCTAGTTTTAGAAGAGGAAATGATAGGTGATTGAAGAGGAAATCGTGGAAATTTGGAGAGAGAAACTTGGGGTAGTGGGAATATACGGTTGAGTAAAATTAGGAGACTAATTAATACTATTAAAATTCTAAAATGGTACATAAATGGTAATTAGGTATATAGAAGGTAATTATATTAAAAGTTAAGTATGCAGGTTAATATAATTTACTATATAACATATGAATGTAAAAATGGCTAAACACCAATAGTCAGCCCAAAAAGTGACCGGTGCAACTAATTTTTGTAGTAACATTAGTCTCACTAGTTCGAATTGCTGTAACTTATGTCCATTGCTATCCAATTAAGGTTTCCCTACTATCTTGTTTATTTGAATGATTCAACCAACCAATCCATTGCGTCTGAATCCTAAACTAGTTAAGTCTCTTGCTAATTATGTGAGAAAAGGAAAAACTAAATCATGTTTTCTTTGTACTTCAGGAAGTTGCATCAAACGAATTTGGTTATGGGAAAAAGAACAAAACTATTATACCATTTAGAAGACCAGAACTTTATTTTAATAATGGAAAAGAAGAACCAAAGAGTGGTAAAAACTTAGCCATGCTGAATGAGTACATGAAACTATATTGATTTACCATGATAAATTGTACTATTAAATTAAGGTGAAAAACATGTCTGAATTAACTACTAGTAATAAGTTTCTTTTACCACAAAAGAGTAACCATGTTTTGTGAAGACATGAACAGAACAGGTAAGTTTTTTTAACCACAAAAGAGGTACTGGGTGGCCCACCAACTGCCAGACCGAAAGCGGGCGAAATAGGATTGCTTCAAAACAAGTAATTGCACATTCGATTCTCTCCTTAAAAGGAAAATGCAAATCCACCTACTACTTTTTAGCACATTGTTTTTTTTTTTTTTTTTTTTTTTTTTGTGTGTTATTCGCACGCCCCAAAACTCTGAAGGTAAATAACATGAAACAATTATATTATTTAGTAGACGAGATTAAATTTGAGGAGTCTGTAAATTTCAGAAAATAAATTTACCTTATCATATCATATACTTCAAATGAAACTAATAAAGTTTAGATGGATGGGAGTATTCTTTTCACCAGTTTTGTAGGACACACAACCAAAGTTCAAACTCTTTTTCCGTTTTCTTCATAAGCATACTTAACAACGATATATTATAATATACTCTTTCTTAGAATAAAATAATGCAGAAAGCGAATTAATTATTACTACGTAATTTCAACTGATAAAACAAAGGGTAGGACGTGCAATACATTCTCGAAGTGGAAGCGTGGTATCCTTTCAGTCAACAAGGACAAATGATATCTCACTTTGTCTTTCTTCTTTCTATACTCCATTTGTTTTCCTCTTTGATTTCCACCTTTTAAAACCCCAATATTGTGGTCCTCATTTCCCTCAAACAGAAACCTGTAAATCAAATAATGAACCCAAATGCACTTCTTATGGCCTGGACAAACGACAACTCAAGTCACATCCACAGTACAAAATCCCCTCTTTTGCACTTGTCATTTTACTGGGGCAGAGACACTGTTTTTCTCTTCCCAGGTTGGCCTGGAAATAGCCGAGGAATGTATGCTTTGGGTTTGATATTTGTCTTTGTTTTGGCTATTCTGGTTGAGTTTTTCGCAAACCTCAAGTTAGTAAAACCAGGATCGAACCGGGCGGCAGCGGTTTTCTTCCAGGCTGGGGTCCAAGCAATTCGAGCCGGGTTTGCTTATATGGTAATGCTGGCTGTTATGTCCTATAATGGAGGAGTTTTCATTGCAGCCATTTTGGGCCATGCAGTTGGTTACGTGATTTTTGGAAGCCCGATTTTCAAAAAGGATATGGATAGATAATTGTGTAATTTTTGGAAAGAATGTAATAATTTAACTTTTTAAGCATTGGTTTTTTTTATTAAAAAAAAAAAGAAAACAATATAAAGAAAGAATGAGGGATCAACACAGAGATTAGTGTTTGTTCTGTTATTATTTCCAGTTTTTTGATTGGTTTTTGGCCATTCAAGAGAAATTTGAAGCTTGCATATCGAATAAATGTTTATGTGCCAAGTATGAATAAAAGTGGCAATTTTGTATGGATGAATTCATCAGGAAATGGATGGACAGGAACGTGAGTTGAACATTTTCTAATTAGATAGACCATTTAATACAATGAAAGCAAGTTAGTACTACCGTATTTCCTTAAAAATAACTATATGACATTGAGTTTCTAGCAAAGGCTGGCTTTTGGACCGCGGTAACTTTTTAGAACTTATGTGTTTTCCTTTCACTTGCTATTTTCACTACTGATTGATGATGACTTGAAGAAAAACCTGGTATTTGTGAAATTCATGTGTGTTCATCGTGTAATATGACCCCGGATATTATAGGCCTTTTTTGGGCGTGCAAACAAAGCCTCACATTGGTAGCTGAAAAAACTGAAAGCTTACATATAAGGTATAGAGAGATTTCTTAATGATGTGAGGCCTTTTGAAAAAAACTGTACAGGTTTCGACCAAAGCGGACAATATCACACTATGTTAAGAATAGAGAAATTTTTAGAAACCACTATTGTTTAGTGGCTATTAACTTGCTATAGCTACCATTTACTTAATTACTTCCTATAGCTATCTTTTCAGTTGTTATTGAATGTATTCGATGTATTCAAGCTATTGTATTCATGAATACAGTAGCAAAACTCGATGGAAAAATAGGGCAGTCTAGCTAACATAGACTGTATTCACGAGCTGTATTCGTGAATACAGTTACGAAAATCTACGAAAAAATAGCTCTCTTCAGCTGTTTAAAAACGGTAAGTGAATCAAATAATGTGATAGACTCCTAATATAAATCAATAAACTCAATTATAACAAGCAAATTTGTATTTCCAATTATTGAAAAGATTTCTCAGACGACCCCAAAATAGAGCAATCTTCAGAGATTCAGTCCATCCTTTTTTCTTGTGGTATCTGTGAGCACGTGATTTTTGCCCTATAGGAATTACTCCCATAAAATCTAAGAAAATAAAATTTTCCCATTATTTGCAATTTTATAGATTTTTTCGTAGAATTTTTTGTTAATTGTTTGCATTTTTCTGTGCATGTTTATTTTATTAAAATCATGAAAAAGTACAAAAATATCATGCATTGCATTTAGGTTTTATTTTACAGTTGCAGGATTAATTAGTTAGTTATTCGTTTTNGCAGGATTAATTAGTTAGCTATTCGTTTTGTTAAAATTGAAAATCACAAAAATTGGCTTACTTTTACATTTTTAGCTTTTAATTTTAGAATAGTAGTTTTTCTTTTTTGATTTAGGATTAAATAGTTTTTCATAATTTTTATAATAGATAATTAGTTAATTTTATAAATTAGATCAAGTTAGGATTTAATTTAGGATTTTTAATTAATGAAAAAGAAAAGAAAAACAAAGAAAAGAAATAAGGAAAAGAAAATGAGGAAGAAAGGAAGCCTATTCTTAAAAAACCTGAAATTGGGCCAAAGGGAAGTTCTGAAGCCCAATTCTCAACCCAAACCACTATTAGCCCAATCCCTAACATAAAACCGCCCGGCCCAATCGAGTTTGACCCGCTCCACTTCCCCAAATATAACCTTAACATTAGAAACAAAAGACCTAACCCTAAAGCATAGAGACCCAAAATGGCGCAAGAGTTCTGTTCATCATCTCCCTCATCTGATTCAACCCCAACTCACATGCGCCCTTATCGCACCACGTCATCAAGATTCTAACAGCCTCTGACAGATTTTCATCTCCTATGTGCGTTCTTGTGAATGAATTCCGAAAAATGGGGACCGTGGATTGATTTTAAATCGATCCTCTCTCTCCATCTGCCCGGGTTCGTTCAAGAAGAATATTATGGGATTTTTCTTGAAGAAGGGAATATAAGCTTCGAGGGAGAACTATATATATCAAAGCTTTTGGTTTATGAAAAAAAAATCGTGTAAAAATTTTAGGGGTTTTGAGAGTTCCTTTCTTCTTTAGTTTTCTTCAATTTTTTTTTCTTTCTTTGTCGATTTTGGTTGAAAAGACAGAATAAAGAAAAGAAAAAAAAAGCAGAAAGAAAAGAGTCCAAGTCTCATTTTTCAATTTTAATTCATCTCGAGAAAAATAAAAAATGACCAAAAAAACAGATTTCTCTTGATTTCTTGTTCTAAAAATTGGAGCTTGATTGAAGTTTGAGTTGTTGTTCGCGTTTGAGTGCTGAGTCCCGGCGCATGTTTCAAATTTCTGTCTGAGTTTCACGATTTCTACTCAAAACTGTTGCTATTTTGTACTGGAATTATTAGCTGAGCTCTACTGCTTGTTTGCTTAAGAGCTTCTGTCGCTGCCTTCGAAGTGTATCGATTTTCATACAGAGGATTAATTTAAAGCTCATTTCAGGTTCATTTTTGTTAAATCCTCTCTATTTTGGTTTATTTATTATGAATCGAGTTTTCTTTATATTTTTAAAGGAGCTATTAAGATGGGTTTAATCAATGATGTCTTTTGGGGGTTTGATATTTTCCCTGTTTAGTTCATATAAGTGTGGCTTTGTGTTGTTTTCTTTTTCAGTTCTTTTTGTTAGTTTCTGGGTAATGTTCAAGTGAGCTTCAAAGTTAAATTTGATTTTCTTATTGTTGTTGCATTATTATGGTGGATCTTCACTGTTTGAGACCTTTGTTAAGAATAGAATAATACTTAGTTTGGTTTCTTTCGTTTAATTTCAGTATGATCTGGGACTTGGCCATGGTAAATGCTAATCGGCAGGGCCTATTTTCTTTTTGTTGTTGGTTAGATTAATTTGTCGTTCAGGTTGGTTGTGTATATGAAGTTGTCACAAATTGGGCGAGGGATCTGATTTGATCTTCTCGATTAGTCTAACACGGTGGTTGAATGTAACTGGCACTGGTTTCTTGGTGATTATAGATTGACGAATATATTAGTAATTATAGGGAGTGATTAAAAAAATTCACAGATACATATGTACTTCACTTCATATTGGGATATAGGAATTGGTTGCTTGTTCTTTGAAATGAACTACTAATTAAAATTTGCTGAAAGCATCTAGCTATGGTAAAAGTTTTGATTTAAGGAGATCAATGCCTCTGAAGGCTTGTTTTCGGTTGCTCGTTCGGTTGGCATTTGAGTTTACAATTGGAGTATCTCATCAAAGTATTAAGGAAGGAGAGCATGCATTTGAGTCAAATTTTTCTTTAGTTGATATTCCCTTGTTGACGTTATTGATGTGGTATTTTGAATTTCTTGGTCATTTACTCTATTTTAGAGAATCAGTCCATATTCGAATTTCATTTGTCTAAGTTTACCTCTTGTCTAGTTGGTTTTCTTATCGGATACTAAATTGGATGAACTTTTTTAGAAAAGATAACAGGGCAGCAGTACGATTCACAACTCTATCTCCATAAATTCATGACCCGGCAAGAATCTCAAACTTAGAAAGAATAATTTATGAACATCCTAGTTTGCTCTAGGCGCGAATAACTTACTATTATGATTATGTATACGTTCGCGTAATATAATTACAATTCTAAAAACCAATTCGGGGTATGCGTTTGCGCAACTTCGAACAAACTTTCTTAATAATAAAATAGGTGCTAATAGGCCGTTAATTTAATTTTAGTTTATATAGTTTTGAGGTGTGCCATCTACAATTTAACTATTCATGGCCCTCATATTAATAACATAGATATAAAAATGACAAATGTTCGTAGTTTGCTTTAGGCACGTTAATATATTATCGTGATTGCGTACACGTTCGCGTGACATGATTACGATTCTAAAAACAAAGTCGGAGTATGTGTTCGCGCAACTTCTGCCAAACTTTCTAAAAGCAGAAAAAGGCAAATGCACATAGATTCTAAAATGAGTAATTAGACAATTTAATAAGCCAAGTATGATCAAAGCGATCATGCTAGAACCATGGAACTCGGGAATGCCTAACACCTTTTTCCGGGTTAACAGAATTCCTTACCCGAATTTCTGTGTTTGCATACCATAAATAAGAGTCAATTTTCCTCGAGTCGGGAATTTAACCGGCTACTTGGGACACCATAAATTATCCCAAGTGGCAACTCTGATTTTTATATAATAATACAGTTTCGATTGTCACTTAAATTGGAAAAAACTCCCTTATACCCCTTTCGGGGGTGGTTAAAAGGAGGTGTGACAGCTCTAGCGACTCTGCTGGGGACAAGAACCCAGAACTTCTGGTTCAGGGTTCATGAATTCGAGCTTGTTATATGATTTTACTTGGTTTTATTTATTGTTAATATTACTGTATTTTGTGAACCTTTGTGCCAAATGCTATATTTTTACCGCTTTATTATTTGAATTGTATATAACTGTCTTCTTACACCACCACTCTGAGTCTTCTTAAAATGGTGCACACGTTCGCGTGGCCTGCTTTTTCTGTAAAAGTTATACCAAATAAAAACAGGGCTGGGCCAGCAACAAGGGCAGGTAGACTTCAGTGCTCCCAGTACGTTTCCCCCTCTTTGGCTCGAGTTGTCCGCTCGGGTAAGCCAGGTCTAGAATACAACCTCAGGATTTAAACCTAGAAAAACACAGCCTCATGCCGAATCCCTAGTAGGAACGTTTGTTTGCATCATGTGCATTTGACTTAGGAGACTCAACACAGGGGTTGGGTCCGTCTAAGATAGGCGTACCCAAAATAACAGACCATCCTAATGCATCCTCTGTGCTATGTGAATATTTATTTATTTCGGCCTGCATGCTGACTGGCTAGGGAGAAATAAATTAAGAGAAAAACCAAGAGTGATGTATGGAAGGAAATAAAGCCCGATTCTAAAAAAATCCCCGGTATTTGGAAATAACCCGAAACTCTGCAAAAAAAATTCAA